CTTCCAAGTAGCTGGGACCATAGGCACCTGCCACAATGCCTGGCTATTTTTTGGTTGCAGCCATCATTGTTGTTTGGCGGGTCCGAGCTGGATTTGAACCCGCCACCTTAGGTGTATGTGGCTGGCGCCTTAGCCACTTGAGCCACAGGCGCCAAGCCCAAACTTGTCTTAATTTCTTTTTTTTTTGACCGGGGCTGGGTTTGAACCTGCCACCTCCGGTTTATGGGGCCAGCGCCCTACTCCTTAATTTGCCTGCAGTAGGTGTTGATATTTTATTAATTTTCATTGATTCCACTAAGGCTCTTTAACAGTTTTCTTAACTGGGGAACTAAGTGTGGTCCTGCCTCACCCACCTCCGGCCCGACAGGGGCCTTGGCTCGGGCGTCCCCGTCGCCCATTGTGACGCCGACCGTGGGCTGGGTCCTCGAGGAGGGCGACCTCGCGGCAGAGCCCTAGGGGCCATGGCCGAGACGCAGGAGCTGCTGCTGCAGCTGCAGAAGGACAACCGCGACGGTCGCCTGCGGAAGCAGGAGCTGGAGGAGCTGGTGCGGGGGCTCGAGGCGGAGAGCGAAAGCCTCACCGGGCGCCTGCAGGACCTGCGCGAGCGCGAGCGCAGGTGGGCGGGCGGGCGCGCGGGGCGTGGGGCGGCCCTGTGGGCGGCGGCGCGGGGGCTTCGCAGAGTGCCCGGCCCACCCGCCCCAACCCTGAGGTGGTCGGTCCCGGGAACAGCTGGACGGAGGGCGCTTACTGCCCCGCCGCAGCTCCGAACTCGGTCTCCCCCTGCAGCCTGCAGCGGAGGCGGAGCCAGGCAGTGCGGACGCTTGGAGGGGATGCTTGCAAAGCTGCGCGGGAGCGCGCGGACCGGGCACGCGGATTGCTCGAGGCGGCAGAGCGGCACAGGCGGGACCTGGTGGGGCGGGGCCCCGGGGCGGGGCCCGGGTGGGACGGGGCCGACGTAGAGGCCCGGACCGCCCCCTCGACCCTGTCCGCAGGAGCAGCACAACCGGCAGCTGCAGGAGCGGTGGGAGGAGCTGTCGAGTCAGGTAGGTGCAGGGGGTGGGATGGTCTCGGTCTCCGGGTTCCTTTGGGAAGTCCCGTTCTGGCCCCTCAGGACTCACCTCGCCCCCTGTAAGGTCCCCTAAGCCCCGCCCTCACAAGCCCCGCCCCTAGCTCTTCTACTACGGAGGGGAACAGCCGAGGGAGAAGCTCGCAGAGCAGCAACTCGGGACCCAACTGTTGGCGCTACAGGTGCTTGGGCGGGGCCCTGAGGGCCGGGGGGCGGAGCAATTGTGTGGGTGGGGTCATACACAGGGGCGCGACCCTTGGGGGCGGAGCCTCGGCGTTGCGTGGCCTCGGGGTTGCGTGGCCTCGGCGCTGCGGGGCCTCCGCGCCGCGGCGGTAGTGGCCGCCGGCCTCCTGACACTCCTTGCCATACTATCAAAGAAACAACTAGAGCTAGAGGAGGCCAAGTACGCAACCCAGACCGAAAGCCTGCGGCAGGTGCGGGCCGAACCGGGGCATTTGGGGGACGGTCGCTTCGGCTGTGGGTGGGGCCTGGGCAGGTACGAGCAGGTGGGGAGGGGTGTATCCCCCGAGTTTCATCGAGGTTCCCTACACCCCAGGGCAAGCAGCGGACAGAGGAGGCCTGGACCAGCTTCCAGGAGCAGAACGGAGTCCTGCAGGTGCGGCCCCCTCCTCTCTGAGAGCCGCTCCCCTCCGGCTCCACCAAGGTCTCCACCTCTCCTCCTCCCCCCGCAGCGGCCGGACTCCCCTTATCCCCCACCCGGGAGGCCTCCAACCCCGAGTCCTCACTCCCACCCGCTCCAGGAGCTGCAGGGGAAAGTGATGGAGGCGGCAGCTGCGCTGGACTCCTCGCGAGGCAGCCTGGAACCGTAAGGGAGTTAGGGCTGCTGGGTGCGGTGGGGCGACTGTGGGGCCAGGGCAGATCGCTCACCTCCACGCTTGTCCTGCAGGTGTGACTCTCGGCCTCGCTGGGTGCAGGACTGCGCGGACTCCCTCATGGAGGAGGTGGCCAGGGCGGACTGTGTGAGCGTGGGCCCACGTGGGGCGGGGTGGGACTCGCCCCACGGGAACCCGGCCCTCACAAGGAGCGGACCTTCCGCAGGGGACTGCCCTGGGACTCCCGCCCCCATCCCCTGGAGAGACCCAGCTAGCGCCGCCCCACTGCGCCGGGGCGGACTTGGACGCGGCTCCCTCTGTCTGCAGGAGAAGCGGCTTTTCGGTGGTGCAGGCGCGGGGGCCCTCAGGTTAGCCGGGCGGTGGGTGGCGGGCGCCGGGCTGCTCTCCTCCTCCCGGGGCCCTCCCCAGAGGCTCCATCTGTGCGTCCGTTGGCCCACAGGCTGTGGGCGCTGGGCGCGCTGCAGACTCTGCTGCTGCTCCCGCTCGTCTTCCTGGGGCTGGTGCTCCTCTACGTGACGCTGAAACACCACGACGCCGTCCGCGGGGGACTCGGGTATCTGGGCTCGGACGCGGCCCTCCGCCGTCTGCGCTACACGCTGTCCCCCCTGCTAGAGCTGCGCGCGCACGGGTTGTTGCCCGCTTGAGCACATCACGCCGGCTACGGCCGTCTGCACCTCGGTCTCCGTGTGATTTCTGGGCGCCTGGGGGAAACGGAGGGAAGACCGCTGGGTGGGCTCGTGTTTCCCTCGGCCTCAGCGACTGCCCTGTGGCACCCGGGCTCGGAGGGTGCCGGGCCTGTCGTGGGAGGGGAGACCCGGGACAGGGCCTCCGGCTAGCTCTTCCCAGCTGGGTCAGCATCTCAGGGCTGCACCCGCCCCCTACCCCCGCCTGAGAGGGGCGCGGTGGGCGCGCCCGTCTGGTGTTCTCCCTGGAGGTCTGTGACTCCTTAGCCCCGCCGCGTCCTCACCTCCCCTTGGGTTGGTTTCCTCTACCGACTTGGCCGGCAACGGTCCACCCTGTAGTCCGCTTCGCTTTCTGCGCGTCTGAGCCCGGCTGGCATTGCGCTATTTATGTGAAATGTTCTGTTTTGTGGAAGTGAATCCTGTGTTTTCGTTTTGTCTACTGCAAATACTGCTCTACTGACGTTATTTGTAGTGAAATTGTTGAGTGTATTTCCTTCACGTGTGTATAGGTATTTCTGTGGCTTTGAAACAATTGTTTTCTCACTTGATTTGTAGGCCTTTAGTTTTTGCTTTTTTCCTGGTTAAATTTGCTTCTGTAATCCTGTGTATGAAATTTTATCAAATTTAAGAAATGTGCTTTGTATCCTAAAAAAAATCCATTCTTGCTTGAAGTCATAGAGACATTCTCATATTCTTCTTCTTCTTTTTTTTTTTTTGAGACAGAGTCTCACTTTGTTGCCCTCCATAGAGTGTGGTGGTGGTGTCATAGCTCACAGCAACCTCAAACTCTTGGGCTCCAGTGATGCTCTTGCCTCAGCCTCTCCAGTAGCTGGGACTACAGGCACCCCCAACAATGCCTAATTTTTCTATTTTTAGTGGAGGCAGGGTCTCACTCTTGCTCAGGCTGGTCAAACTTCTGAGCTCACATCCCCCCCCCCTTTTTTGGTGAAAAATACATCACTTTATTTAAAGTTGAAAGAATGGTTTCAATCAGGAGCACCTTTTAACCAAAATTTAAAAAAGAAGGTTATTTTCCTTTCTAATGAACTTTCTAATTTTTTTATTCTTTTGAATAAAAAATACAACAGTATTTTTTAATACTAATACCATAGTATTTAGTCAATCTGCATCATATTAATCAAAAGTTATTTACTAAGCCTCTACAATATGCTTGGCATTGTTCATCAAAAATACACCATGAGAAAGAATTCGCATGAGAAAGAATTCTGGGTGAATCTTCTATTGGGTATTTAGGGATTATAGGATTAGAGACATAAAGAAAATCTAGGACTGTGGGAAACTCCAAGCATAAGGCTTTGGATTTCATTATTTTATTTTACTTTTTTGCTTTTTTCACATTTTCCTTCTTCTATATTCAATATATATTCAATTTGCTAATACTCTGTTAGGGATTTTTGCATCTGTGTTCCTGAGAGGGATACTGCACTATAATTTTAATTGGAATGTATTTTATTTAAAATCAAGGCTATGCTGCCCTCATCTGAGAGAGTGTGTGAGAAAGTAACATTACTTTGGGCTGTGCCTGTGGCTCAGTGAGTAGGCCTCCCGCCCCATATACCAAGGGTGGCAGATTCAAACCTGGCCCCGGCCAAACTGCAGCAGAGGAAAAATAGCTGGGTGCTGTGGTGGGCACCTGTAGTCCCAGGTGCTCCGGAGGCTGAGGCGGGAGAATTGCCTGAGCCCAGGTATTGGATGTTGCTGTGAGCTGTGACGCCACGGCACTCTGCCAAGGGCAATAAAGTGACTCTGTCTCTAAAAAACAAAACACAACAAAAAAACAAACAAAGTATCATTACTTCTTCCATAAATGTTTAATATATGTGCTGCCAAAGCGAGCACTTCTGTAATTGTTTAAAACCATCTAGGTTTTATGATGAAAAATGTTATTTCAACATGTTTTTGTTGTCTAACACGGTAAAGTGTATGAACTGTCAGTGAATTTTCACAAATGGAACTCAAGAAACAGAATGTTACCAGCACCTCAGAATCCTCTCTTATGCCCCCCAAAGGCATCTAGTACCCTGACTTTGATGGACTCATGTGGTATGTGTTTGTGTCTGGCCACGTTTGCCAAACATTCTCCGTGAGATCCATACTACCCTTTGCAGCTGCTGGCATTTCTTTTCTTTTCTTTGTGCTTTTTGGCTGGGGCTGGGTTTGAACCCGCCACCTCCAGCATATGGGACTGGCGCCTTATTCCATTGAGCCACAGGCGCCACCCTATTTTCATTGTATTGTATTCTGTTGTGTGAATAACCATAGTGATTTGTCTTGTATGGAAGAATTTTTGCATCATTTTCAATTTTGGGTTGTGACATTCTTGTTCATGCCTTTGGTGCACGTTTGTACATCTGCTGTGTATATCTAGGAGTGATTTGCTTTATCATGGAGTATGAGACGTCTTGCTTTAGTAGCCATTTCAGTTTTCCTTTTTTTTTTGAGACAGAGCCTCAAGCTATCCCCCTGGG